GCGCTGGTCTGTTTGCTGCTGGGTGATTTTGGTTTATTTAAACTTGGTAACTTGAACTTAACGTTGGTAAAGCTACTGTTAGCATCTTCGCTAACAGCTTCTTGCGTTGGGATAAGCTATTACGTTTTGGTTTAGAGTTAATCTTTTTTGTGGTGTAGATCTCCCTTTTATTACATTTAGAGTGTTGTGGGTTTTCGGTTTAGTTTAAAATATCACCTTGAGTTTGGTTTAACCTGTAAGACCACTCGCCTCACGCACATAAGTGACCAAAACAAAGCAGCATGGAGACACACCATCTTCTACCACCTCTCAGGCAGCAGCCTGCACTCCCAAGTTCTACACGTCACCAGAACATAACCAACCGCAACACAATAAAAGCAGTGTTATACAAAATGGAAGGTCTGTAGTGTTTATTCTCTTACAGTAAGAATTTATCAATTTTTTTGAGGAATTTATTTGAGATTTTCTGGTTTTTGTTAATTGTGCAATAGAAAAATAATCATTAGATTAATTTTCTAAATAGTCATTAGAATAGTCGACTATTCGATAAAATAATCGTCAGAATAATCGTTTTAAAAATAATCGTTTACCCCCAGCCCTAAGAAAGACACAGCAAGAACACACCTAAGATATGTTGTTTATTTGTTTACATTTTCCCCTTTAGTCTTTAAAATACCAATATTTGCCCAAACTTCTTATTTTATGTCTGTTTGATGTCATCATTTTAAAAATATTAGATCAGATGATACTCAGTACTCAAGTAGCCTTCTAATCAGATACTTTTTTTTTACCCTTACTTGAGCAATCCGTATATCAGGAGAATATTGTCCTCGGTTTGTGTCCTTCCAGTGAGCGTTGCAGATGTGGGAAAATGTCATCAGGCAGTAATCATTGTTAAATTCATAATTATTCTCGGAGAAAGACCAACTCTTATCTGCCCCTGGGAGCCCCGTAATGCATAGCGTCATTTCAACATGGGGGTGTCCGCAACATGGTTTATATGCAGGTAGCGGCGCTGCGGCTGCTTTATATAGCGACTCGTTGCATTCTCCCTCAACCCAAATCCTCGGATCACACATTTTAGCTAAAACGCTAACGTTAACTTGCCTTGCGTTGACTGTAGAGTTGTGGGTGATGGTCACGCAGATGTGTCATGAGATTTGAAGCGTTGCTGCCTTTCACAGACACTTTTCTGCTCGTGCTGCAAACAGTCTTCTATAAACTCCCTCGGCATTCTTCAAATATCTAAAATATGCCCGTACTTCCGACTTTGTCTTCTTTGAGGGATAATAAATGTCCTCCTGAGCGCTGCCGTCTCCTCCTTTGACCATTATTTCAGCTTTAGCTTCAAGAAAGTTTTGTTGTAAACAAAGCGCGCATGTGCCGCCGGCAACTTCAGCCGATGATACGGTGGCTGGTAAGGGTCACCGCGCCTACACCGCAGCCACGGTAATCCACCAAGATAATATAGTTTTTTAAAAAACAAGACGGTTATTATTATTGTCAACTTTTTTTTTTAACCGGGGTTTACCGCTACACTGGTTACCGTGACAACCCTACCTGATCGGTTTGCTTTGATCTATTTTGAAAATTCCGATCAAAACCGATAGGGGCGCTATCGGCCGATTACGATCAAACGCCGATCCATCGGTGCATCCCTAGATGTCGCCCTCTGCTGCTCTCCGATGATGCAGTCCCATGCGCGATCCAATGAGTAAACTCCATCGTCTCTGTTCATGGTCCCGCATCCACGTCTCCTTATCTCTGTAGCTTCTTTTATCCATCTTTTGTATTTCTGTTGTTCGGTGTTTATGATCCTTGTGTTGTCCCAGTCCGTTATATGGTTTTCTCTTGTGCAGTGATCTGTTACGGCCGACTTTATTGTACTTTCTGCTTCTTGTTTTGCTGCTTGTGTGTGTTTTTGACTTGTTTCTCTCTCGCACTCCTTTCTATGTTCTATTGTTCGTGTGTTGAGTTGGCGTCCGGTTTCTCCTATGTATGTTTTATTGCAGAGTTTGCATGGGATTTCGTAAACAACTCCACATTTATGTCCAGCTGGTATCTTGACTTTTGGGTGTAATAGTCTGTTTCTAACTGTTGTGTATGGTTTTGTTGGTGTGTTTATGTTGTGTTTTTTTCATTGATGCTCTTATTTTTTCTGTTATGTTTTGATGTATGGTAGGGTTATCACTGATTTTGGTTCTTGTCTTTCTGGGTATCTGGTTCTTTGCTTAGATTGTTCTTTTCTTTCTGTTGTTGTTTGTTGTTTTCCTTTGTTTATTGCCCGTGTCGGGTATCCGCAGGTCTTTAAACCGTGTTGTATGTGTTTGTCCTCTTGTTTACGGTCTCTTTCTTCTGTTACCATGTTTGCTCAGTGATATAATGTTCTGATTACTGACAATTTGTGTATGGTAGGGTGTTCTGATGTCTATAATAAATATTGGTCTGTGTGTGTTGGCTTTCCATATGTGTTTATGTTTAGGGTCCCGTCTGTTTGCCTGATTATTTTCATGTCCATAAATGTTATACTGCCTTCTGTTTCTGACTCATAAGTGAACTTTTAAAAAGAACCAAAAATGGAATTAGAAACTAGACACAGTAAGAACATACCAAGGATGTTTAAATATTCACGTCAGTTTTTTTAACTGCATGTAAGCATGTTAGTCAGGCTGAAGGCGCAGGGGTTCTAATCAAGCTGTAGCACCCAGATAATGTGGTAGCATTCGATTACATTCTGCATGTAAATGGGTTAGCTGAACTAAACCAGTTGGGCACTCGCGTTCCAGAACTGACAACACCACAGAAGTGGTTTTATGACAAGTCCATTGTCACAAAGCAACATGCGTAACACCATAAAACAGGACAGTACGTACTAGGGCTGGGCGTTATGGCCTAAAATCAATATCCCGATATTTTGAGGATTTCACCTTGATAACAATAACTACAGGTTTGCGCAAAAACAAAAGTTGTCCACTAGATGGGACTGTCACATGTATTACTTTGAGTCACATTTTTACGTGACTCAAGGTGGTACAGCTTCTTAAAAGTACATGAATGTTTCCAACCTACACACATCCTTGCATTTTTTTAAATCAAATTTATTGATATGGGGATTATTCTCTCGATAGCAGTCAGAAATTTTGATGACGATACATTTTGTATTTATTGCCCAGCCCTAGTACGTACCAAATAAGCTGTGCTGCAGCATTGTTGTTGTGCATTCCTTCAGCCGTCGTGCATATCCTGTTTCAATTCCATGCGCTTCACTCTCACCAGCCTCTGTTTACTGCTTGTGTTGCTATAAGCTAACCGGGAAACTGCCGACATGGAAAACGGCATGTCGCCATCTAGTGTACTGGAGTGGAACAAGCTTTATTTGAGAGGCCAATTTTCTATTGCGCATGTAAACTAGGATTAAGACTTCCAGCTTATTACAATAAGATCGACGTGGATCGACTTACATGTCGGTCAGTGCACATGTAACCACACTCGGTGTAAAAAAGGTATGTTTTATACCTTTTTGCTTGCGGCCAGCAGAGGGCTGGATCATCGTTTGGTCATTTGACAATGATAATATTGCAGCACAAAACTGTTTGTGAAACTGAAGCAGAGACGCAACGCTGGCAGGGTGGTTGTCTTTTTTTCACTGTGTCAGAAGAAACTCAAAAAACAGTGTGTAAGACTTGTCACATGTTCATCCACCACCAGTTTAATTTGTTATTTGGAAAACCACCATCCAGAAGCTCAAAAACAAATGTGTGCTACAGTTAGCCAACAATAGAAAGTGGATGGAGCAACAGCTGGAAGCCAAATAACCGCAAGCATTCGTGGTAATATCTGTAAATATTAGTATTCAGCTATAACGGAAATAAAATGATCAGATATTGATATTGTCCCACATTTTTCATAGTGTTGCATCCCTACTAATTTCCCAAGGCCACATCTTTGTTACAGTAGCACATGATTGATAGTGTGTGTGTTAGGTGTGTGGAAAAACACAAACTTCAACATAGTTTAGGCAACTTACTCAGCTGATTAGTGTCTTGAACTGAGCTGAGTGAGAAATACTCAGTAATCAATGTCCAGATTCCCTGCGGCAGATGCATAATTGTGTATTAAGAAAGATGTGTACGGACCTCAATTCCAAGATCACTTTGAGGTATCTGCAGTTTTAATTGCTCATTGATTTAAAGCCAATGATTCTAAAAGCCTTTGGTTAAATCTTGTGGTTTCAAGTTTACAAAGTCTTATTTTTAGACCCTGTGTATCTTTGTTTGCTTTATATTAAAACAACACTTTTACTTTATTTCTGTTAAACCGTAACAGCTTCATCAGTGACTTCATGTTCCTGGTTTTATTTGAAACCGACAGTTCTGTGGTGGTCGGTCACTCTCCGTGTGCACAAGTCAGGGCCGGCCCAATGAGATTTGATCGTTTTTCTGCTCACTCAGCTTTCCATTCTATAACAATTATTATTTCAATGGTGTTTTATTTGCCTGCAGTTTATTAACGTGTCACATATTAAAGTTTTAACAGTAGTTTAGTCTTCTACATGAAGTTTCTTTATACTTCCTGTTCAGATTGTGTGACCAATCAGTAATCCACAGTGAGAAAATAGCAGTTTGTCATGATGCGGTAAAATAAGTGTTTGTGAAATATACCTATTGTTTTTGTGAAAATGTGGTTTTCATTTAAGACTTTTAAATGCCTTCATTAAAGTTCTCGTGGGTTAAAGAATCCACACGATTCAGTAGGATTAGTCTTTTCTCAGGACAGGTATTTCTGCCCAAATGCTGCCACTACTGTTGAATCAGCTGATAGGTTTGAGAGCAAGAGTCAAATTCAAACTCTTTAAACCAATAAAAAAGAAAATTAATATGAGGTAGATTTGGACTGACCATTTATTGGGATATTTTCTGAACATGATGTGAGTAACGCGTTGCCTCCCTTTACCTTCTGTTCCATCTCTTATCCTCATTGTTTTGTCTGTCCTCTCCCAGGGCTTCGACCCACCTCATCAAAGTGACACCAGGACAGTTTATGTAGCAAACCGTTTCCCCCAGCATGGCCATTACATCCCACAACGCTTTGCAGACAACAGAATCATTTCATCCAAGGTATTCAAATGTATTTTTACTAGTATTTGTGTCCTGTTTTATGATTTTGTTTAATAGCTACTGCCATTGTATAACAAGGTTGTAAAAGGTAAAAATGAGTGCCTGACCATTCTATTAGTCTAGCTTATTAACAAACATGATGTGTCTCCGTGTTAACTTTTATAATAGTTGGAATTCGTGCCCTATAGAGCTCCGGACGTCACATGGTTCTCAGAGAGTAGACGCCATGTTGGCAGGCAACACAGGTAAACAAATTGAACGGGGCTGGCATGGATTTTACTCGGTCAGAGTTTACTTCACATTTTAAAACCGAAGAGATCGTTTTATGCACTCAGACATTAAAGAGACTAAACATCTCCAACTCTTACCGTTCCCCTGGGATAATTTTTAAAACTCCAGAAGCTGTCGGAGCGGACCTTTTACCGGATTGGAGATACCCTGATATTTAAAATTTCCTTATTGTTTTCCCTTGTCCTACTCTGAAGCATCACTAAGAACATACAAAAGCCAGGAGGGATACAAACGGAATCAAGCAGGGTTATGTACACAGCAGCACGTAGAAATCATGAATGATTAGGCAAGGTTTTACGTGATATTTATTTATTGCTATGTGCAACAAGACAGAAAATGTCACGTCAAAATACGTTTAGGAAGCCCACTAAGAATAGTAATAAAAGTATTCAAAATAAATACCATATACAGTCGAAGAAACGTTGGTTTAACTACCTGATATGAATTGGTCGCTGCGGAAGCAAAAACCTTTGCTCCCGGAATCCCACAGTTTCATTTTAGCCCGGTCACTAGCGCGTTTTATTGCAATGATCCAATGTTTGCTGTGATCCGGATCCTGGGGAATTCGGCTCTTCCCTCATCTGGTCTGCGTCTGTTATGGCATCCTGGGCCACAGCAGGTATCTACCATATTTCCCGTTTCTAGTTTGGGTTTTCTGCAAATAACAATAGCCTAACTGTGGGTAACTGCCTGCCAAGATGGCGCCATTCAATTTGAACTGTTGCATGCCAGGAAAGGTGACGTCAACTCCCAGAGCTCTATAGTTGTGAAGCCTTTCTGCTCTTTTATAGCCGCGCCGCTGTGTAACCAGGTCCTGCATATCCGAAATGTTCAGAATGTTTAGTTAGTTTGTTTTGTGAGGGGGTGGGGGTCTGTTAAGAATGTGCAATTGGACAAATTTACTGACCGTTGTTTGATGATAGTTTTGTTATGAGCAATTCTGTTAAGGCTCCAACAAATTAACTCAATTTAACCCTCTGGGGTCCATGGACGCGTATCCGCTTCTTTTGAACAGGTCTGATTTGGGAAGCGGTAGCAGCAAGACTCCGCCTCCGTGAGTTTCGGTTTCAATTCAGCTTTAAAAAGGAGATTATAAACTACACCCCAGTTTTTAAAATTTGTTAATAGGCAACGTAAAAGCGCAGTTATACTAAACTAAAAAACGACCTATTTTTAGACAATCTGATAACTTGTCAAAACAGCAGTTTAGTAATCCGTGAGAGGGAATGTGCTTGTGAACATAAAAAACCCACAAAAACACGAGATCCTTTTGCTGTTGTTGGAAGTCTCACACATTCAATTGATAAAAACTATCATTATGAAGCTGAGAGAGAGAGGAAGGCCTCACGAGTAACGAGATGTGCGCAAAAAGGTTCGCGGGGAAAGCAATGAAGCGAATGGAGTAACCACACACAATTAGACAGATATTGACGGTAAACTTCATATTTTAGAGCGATCCGGACAGATATATTGTCTCTGCAGTTTAGTAGGCTTTTATTAGGCTTATATAAAGGATGAGAGAAGGATAAATGTCCACAAGGCAGTTCAGATAGTACGGCTGTTTTTTGAACTGGAAGCAGAGGAAGTGGACGGAGACTCACAGCTGGAGTCTGAGGCAAATAGCGAGGATGTTGATGACGATGTGGCAGATCCATCCTTCCTCACAGAAGAGTTGGGTCATGATGAGGTAGAGGATGAAGGCAGAGATCCAGCTCCTCTGAGATCCAACAAGTGGAGTGGGCGGCACCATGCAGCTGTCAGATCTCGATCTCCGTGGCGTGAGCCAAAGCCACTCCCCACTCCAAAATGCATGTACATTATTGCCAAATTAATAAAATAAGTATAAATTCAGATAGTCCAGGTTGTCCTGAAAACAATGATACCCCATAAGGCAATATTTATTGTTTTTATTAGAAAATACAAAAGAAAAACCAAAATGAGTCAAAAACGGTGATTTACACCCTGGACCCCAGAGGGCTAATATTTTTTTTAAATGTGTTATTTGCTATATTTATTCATAATTTTTATAAATGTACAGTCTAGATTACCATTCTAAATTATAAAAAACATTCGTCATAAATGTTTGTTGGTTTCACAGTAAAATAAGCAACTTTTTTCCAATTCGAATTTTATGTTTTGAGTGATTTAAGGTCTAATATGCAACCCCTTTATGTCCAAATAGAAAAAATAAGTATAAATTCATAAAGTCCAGGTTGTGCTGAAAAGATTGATACCATATAAGGCAGTGGTTATGGTTTTTATTTTGGAAATACAAAGGAAAACTCTAAATTAGTCAAAAACTGCAAATTACACCCTGGACCCCAGAGGGTTAAAGAGTTAATCAACATGTCTTATTTCCACAATCCAACATGATGAATTGTTGAAAACATTCAACAATTCCATCAGGTTTGTCTCTTTCTCAGAATAACCCCTGTTAGCATCTTCATACTGGCTTCAAACTTTTGAGTGCTGTCTTAGCTGATCCAACAGGTGAAGGGTTACCCTCTCTGCTGAGGAAAATCGTCCTCTACTGGCTGATTGACCAATGGTGTCGCCCCGATTATCACACTTAAATGATAAACAATGACCTGTACTTGTATAGCACCTTTCAGTGTCAGAGGACTCCAAAGTGCTTCGTCGTTTAGGGCTGCCACAAACAGTTATTTTAATAATCGACTAATCACCAGTTTCCTTTTGGCAATCAGGCGATAAATCGTGTCATGCATAACGTATAGCTTATTGCACCAGTATGCAAGTGCGCTGATATACCCATCATCATCTAAAAATAAAGACAAGATGATAGCTTATCAAACGACAGGGGCCTCATGTCTGTCTTTGTTTGCCGAGGCATGCATGATTTTGGCTTGAAACAAACCCGTCCATTGAAGACCACATTTTTAACACAATAACGTAGCTGTATACAATGAAACATTAGCGTTTGTAATGTTAGATCAAATCCATGACATACATGTGCTAAAGGTAATAAAATCACTGTCACTCCTGTCATTGCTATAAACACAAGTAACTCCCCGTTAATGTTAGCAGCTAACAAGAGGGAATTGACTTACAGAGGCGACTGTTCCTCTTCCTACTCTGACATGGCGTACAAGGTGTTCACACATCACTGTTGTGCTCCCGTGAACGGAGAGTTCTACTTTGCAGATTTCACACTGTACGTGATTCTCTTTTTTTTCTTTGTAAAAAGCTCCCAAAATTTTGAGCTACGTTGCCGGCTCGCCATCGTGTCTTTTTTTCTGGCGATGCGACGGCTGACCCGGGTGGCCACTACTGCACATGTGCCTTGAGCAGAAAGGCAGAAAGCAGCAGAAATTAGCAGAAGATGTCGGCAAGATTAAAAAAAAACAGTGCTTCACAGAATGTACGTTGGTTATTACATTTATTTTTTTTGTCGATGTTATCGTGATGAATCGACTAATCGTGGTAGCACTAGAGTCGTTCATCCATTCACATATATTTACACCCTGGTGGTGATGAGCTACAGTGGGGCTACAGCTTCCCTGGGGCATACTTACAGAGGTGAAGCTGCCATGCACGTGTATCACTGGACCCTCCAACCACCACCAGAAGGCAAGGAGGGTAAATGTCTTTTTCAAGGACAACAGCTGAAATTTTTGCAGCGAGCCATGAATCGATCCTGCAACCCTCCAATTACTGGACAACCCGTTCTTCCTCCTGAGCTACTGCTGCCCCGTATTGTGAAAAGAAAATTAAACAACAATCTAAAGCATGAGGAACCCTCGTGCTCTGCATTCACAAACGGAGTAATGTGATTGGTTCATTTGTCCATGCGTTGTGTGTCAGGCCCACAAAACATCTAAATGTCACCTGCGTGAACATATCGGCCATTTTATTTAGTCTAATGAAAATCTCCTAAAGAATGTAATTAAAAAAATTTATTTTTTAGCAAAAAAATGTTTAAAATAAAGCTTAAGATCAATTTAGGTTAAGAAATTAACCACAAACATTTTCTGATCGCTGACGGTTTTAGTACGGCTGAAAAACAAGCGTCATTCAGAGAAAACCTGGAATGTTGGAACAGAATCTTTTTGTGCCCGTTGCTTTGGAATTTCAACATGGAGGCTGAACGGTCAGATGTTTACTTGGTAACAACAGAATGAGCACAAACAAAAAGCTTTTTTGTTGTTAATATGTAATAGGTCAGGTGGAAGATTGACTAACAGGACAAAGAACGACAATCCAAACTGGATCCTTCATGCCAACAGCAGTAATGGCTGATCTTAAATGATGATACAGATAACAGGAGTGTGAAAGTCTTGCTTAGTAAAATCAGAGTGTGCCTGTGCCTTAATGTGTTGACCCTCACCTTGTAATAAAAAGGTGGAAAATTAATTTTGAATCATGTAATTCCTTCTGCTGTGAGAGCAGTTGAAGAATCCTTTAAAGTCTCTTTAAAGATACTTTTTTGCCACCAGCTTTATTTTTTATGCGTTTAAGGCTTTGGCGGTATCCAAATTTTAATACTGTCCAACTTCCTCTACATTTTAACACAGTGTGCTCTCACTCCTGCACCGGCAGGGCCTGCATCTTTTGCACAAATTACCTCATCAGTGTTTACCGGTTCTCCTTTTAAGTTTGCTTTGAACCCAAAATACTCCCAAATGGCAGAACTTGTGTTTTTTTAGACACCAAGTCAGTTGGTGCGCCCCCTGCCATTTTTCTCCCCTTCTCTCTCTTCGATGCGTCTCCTCGGCGCTGTCATGTGATGACATGTGCCTGTTAACATAAGGCAGCTGTTTTTCCTCTGTTTTTGGTAAATATTGTACTAAATATGTGTTTTTCTCTTTTTCAGTACACAGTTTGGAATTTTGTCCCCAAGAATCTGTTTGAGCAGTTTAGGAGAATAGCAAACTTCTATTTCCTCATCATCTTCCTTGTACAGGTAATGTCACACACATCCACAGAAAAAGGCCTTTGGGCTGGTAGTGTATTCCATTAGCTTGGTGATGAGTCACGTCTGACCTCCTTATTCCATTTGCAGAGCCTTTGTTTTTGCATGAGTGAATGTGTCACTAACTCGAGGGACTAGGAGGGGAATAGGTCTGACTCTGTAATTAAAAAGTTACCCCCACACGTAATGTGTGTTATTACAGCTTGCCCAAAGTGTTATGCCTTCAGTACAAATCAGTCATCTTGAGCTGAAGCTGGGTTTGGTGTTGACTGATGCATTTAAATTTTAACTTGAAGCACCCTGCTCCTCAGGGCCGTTGCTAGCTATTTTGGTGCCCTAAGCACAAAGTCTTTGTGGTCCCCCCCCCCCCCCCCCCCCCACACACACACACACACACACACACACACAGAAAAAACAACACAATCACTGGCATGTGACATGACTAAATTCAAACCTATTTAACCTTTATTAAGAACTAGAGAGGCACAATATACACATTTTATATACAACTAGAAAATTCTGAATATGAAGGGAGGATGTTAGCATAATGGACTTTTTTCTTCATATTATACCATCAGCAGCTGATGTTCCCCTTGGCCCATAAATGTTTATGAAATATATATTAACATGGAGCAAATACCTAATTAGAAAATAGGTTTGTCTAATTGTTCATATTAAATCTCAGTTACATAGTCTATAGGCCACATAGGCTATTTAATAATGATATAAATCTTGTCCTTAGTTAACTCATGATTAATCACAAACAGCCGCTTATTTAAAAAAAAATGTCTTACTTTACCTTGACGGTGTTTTTGTCCTACCTGTTTATGTGATATTTAAGTATTTGGGTGGACAAATATGATTCATTTGTTTATTTCTGTTTCAAAACAGCACAGATGGGCCTGTCTGACCTCACAGAGGGAACTTTATTTTACTTGAGAAAGATGTTTTAAGATGAACTTATTAAAACAAAAAAAATCTTCAAACTCTTCAAGGTTTATTTTTAGATGAACAACCTTTAACACTGTTCAGACTTATTTTTTGATACAAGTCGCATGAACAGGCTGAATAAAAGGATTTTTCCCTCTGTTGCATTTAACTATTTCTTCTTTAAAGAAGTGCTGATTCAGAAGATATAGCTGCATTTAGGAAGATGATGACTTGCTACGTTTTTTTCTCCAGCAGTAAAAAAGCTCTAAAGCTTCTCTGAGTTTCTCTCCCTCTCAGCCTCTCTCACTCAGCTACTAATGAACGCCCGGTAGACAGGGCCAGATTAACACTTTGTTGTACCCTGGGCAACAATATTAAAGGGCCCCATCATCACGACCCAAGGATCACCATAATATGGTCACATACAGAATATTTTACTGTAATATTCAGTGAATATACTCAATACTTGAATGCCTGATGTCACATAACCTGCTCAGGGTAACCTTTGACCCACCTCGTGTGGACTGACCAATGAGGAGAGGGTCTTAACTTGAGGCCCTCTCTTCATTGGTCAGTCTGCATGAGACTGACTCTCAACTAACGTTCAAAGTCGTAGGCAGCGAAGCGTCTCTGTGCAGCGCAAAAGCCCGGGTGGACAGTTTGTTTAATGTAGGGTGACCATATTTCCATTTCCAAACAAGAGGACAGGGGATCTGTGCCTATGACATCACACTGTGGCAACGCCACACAAACCACATTGGGACCCATTTTTTTGTAAGAACTAAATTAATATCAGATTCTGCCAATAAAAGGACTCAAAAACAATTCATATGTAAATATTTTGCATATTTATTGCAAAATCTCATTTTTCTGCTTTAGTGCTGCAACAAGGTTTTATTAATAATAAATTATTATACCTTTTGTTTTACTACAGCATCGGTAAGCTTCCCGTGCACACATTATTAAGGATGCTTGTTTCAGCTGTGAGATTAGATGATAGGATCAATGATAAAATAAGTTTTCACACACTCCATGGAAACTTTAAGAGAATCCACAAATAGTGGCTTTCAAATGGTTTTGTTACTTTTTGCAAGTTTAGAAAAGCAGCAGATGAGATGCCATGTCTGATCATTTAGTTTTTCATCTGATAATATTAGAACATGTCAGCGATGTCTGAGGGGCTTTTATAAACACTGTATAACTAACACTACTGGACAGGGTATGAATTACACAGAGGCTTCTGTGGAGCCCGGTTATGGGGTGGTGGTGGTGTGTGTGTGTGTGTGTGTGTGGGGGGGGGGGGGGGTGTCATTTAGCCTTGGCCCCCAAAATATCTTGAAACGGCCCTGGGTGTGTGACAGAGTTTTGAAGGTGATCTGAATTGTATCAAATGTATAAATATGACATGTGTGTTTTATACAGGTAAAAACATAGTGGAGATAAATCTACCTACATTTTACTTTTCAACACTTTGTTTTGTTTTTATTGAACTATTTCCTGTCCTGTCTGTCTCTCATCTTCCTGCATCTCCTCTAAACTCTCCAGAAAATCTGCTACCTGGATTCTTACTTTTTCACCTTATCATTTACTTCTGAGCAGATCAAAGGGATCTCCTGACCGCAAAGCGGAGTGCGCGTTTCAATGCTGCGTCAGTGAGGTGACATCACCACAGCACAGGTGATGAGCTCCGCAGTAGCAGAGCGCTTCAGGCACAAATAAGACAGAAAGTAGAGAACATGTGCGGACATGAACGATCGTGTGTTAATTATAGTTTTTTGGCTGCGCCACTTTGAGAATGGACCGTGCGCTGGAAGCAGCTGCCTGGAGCGCTGCGCAACAACGCGCTGTGCCGCTCTCTGTGCTCTCTGCTCAGAAGAGTCCATAAATGATGTAATATAGGTAGAAAACTTTTTTTCCGGCTCCCCTGGATGTGTAGGATATACAGCTCCCCCATAATTTGATCCCTGCTCCTGGATGAAAAGCCGGACATTTTCATCAATACAAGAACCCCCCGGACACCCGGACAGAAAGTGAAAAGTGGACACGGTCCATCTCCTTTCCTTTTTGTATTGTTTTCTCTCTGTAAACATGCTGTTAACTTGCTTTGCACATCTTCTAATTGAAATCTGTCTTTATCATATATATATATATATATATTATTTTTTCATAAGCTTGCATTTGGTGCCCCTCCCCTAGCATGGTGCCCTACGCGCTATGCGTGGTGTGCGTGTGCGGAGCGCCGGCGCTGCTTCTCCTTCTCTGTCTCTACAACAGGATTTCTTTCTAAGCTGTGTCCTTTACAGCCATCTGTTGAACAATGCAACATTGTGAAACAGCTGACAGGAATGTGTATTGCATCACCTGTTAGTGAACACAGTGACACAGAGTCAACTGATGATTGCTTTTCCTCAAATACCTAAAAGCCAGAAACCTCAGGGTGCCTTTAATCTCCACCTCAAGTTTTAAAATGATATAGTTATTATGTAATAGTAATTACTTAGATCCAGTCACTCTAATTTGTATGACATCTTTTATACTTTTGTTTCCGGAACTGCGCTGCTCTGGGCGGCTGCATGTTGGAGTAGCTCTGTTGACGATATGTAAGTTTTGCCTTTTCTTGGGCATTTTTTCTTCTAGTTTCTCAAGAAAAACTGTAGTTTTTGGACACTTTACTTTTCTGTTTCTGGTGCTGTGAAGCTTGGAGGATTTTTACTGCTATTTTTTAGCTTTTTTCACTTTTTGAGCATTTGTTATGATGCATAACCATGGCAACAAGCTGGTTTACAATTGGGAGCAGCTGATTAACATTGGAAAGGCTGAAATAATACCTCAACTGAAGCCACAAATCCCAAATGAGCTAAAACGCAAGAAGCCTGGGTGCAGAGTGGGAGCAAAACGAAGACAGAAAGAGGAAATTCAAACCATCTCTTCCATCGATCATAATGGGCAATGTGAGATCACTGGTCAACAAGATGGAGGAACTCCAAGCCCTTTCAAGGACTCAGCCAGAGTTTCGGCAGTTTCGGAACCACTGGAGGAGATAATGCAAAGAAGGATTCTCCAAAGAATCAAGAAAATTATGGACAGCCCTGAGCATTCTCTTCACAAGACTGTCCGACAACGGAAGAGTGTCTTCAGTCAGAGGCTTCTTCAGTTTGGCTGCAACACTGACCGCTACTGGAGATCCTTCCTGCCAACAGCCATTGTAATATACAACAACTCTTTGATGACTTGATTATTATTATTATTATTCTGAGCTATTACAGCAATCAGTTTCCCTCTGGGATTAATAAAGTATTTTTGAATTGAATTGAATTGATACAATGTGGTCCCTGTAGTGATGGGATTTCTGGCTCTTTGTAGAGAGCCGGTGTTCCGACTATCCGTGCTCCCCGTCGAAATGGGCTACTTTAGGGAAATGCGCATGTGCAGCGCATGCACAGGCCGATTATTGCGTCACAGGCAGTTTACAAGTCGAGATGCGCTACCTGTGGAAGTTTACGTTTAATCTCATCACTTATCTAGTTACTTTCAACTTGTCGAAGGTCACAGTAAGTATTTCTTTAAGTTGTTTTATTAAATTACTGCTTGCTTTATGTTTACCTGACGTTAGCTTGTAAATGGCTTCTAAAATATCGTTATTATACTGTAAACAAGAAATTTCTCCCCATTGTTTACAGTCATTCTGAAAGAGTCCCAAATTAATATCCAAAAGTTTTATATTATACATATAATAAATTTATCATAGTTGTATAAAAATCTCCAAAATTATACATTCAAACAAATAACTAAGTATTGAGGGAAAAGCATATTTGTTCTATGTGGGTTTATTTGTCTAATTAAGGATTAGGTAGAGAAATGGAATGGTAAGAGCTAACGTCTTACAAATCTCCATTTTTATGAGTCACTTTCTCGACATGGGTGAAAGTAGTTGGTAAATCGTCATTGTTCTGAGAATATTCAAATGTTTTTAGCAACTAAGGGGTTCATTTTTACGAAATGACTAAATTCCTTCTTACACTATCCACTTATTTTCATAAAATAAATTAACAGTAGCTACT